CTGAAGACTTGCACGTGGGCCGGCTCCTCACGTGCCTCAGCTGGAGCCGGACCTCTAGCCGGCCGGCGAGGAGAAGGGCTTGGGGAGTCCGTAGCTTCGTCTTTCTGCTCCGCAACAGAAGCGAGGCCTTCGAGACCTGGCTCTGCAGGGTCCGGCGGGGGCCGTGGAGAGACCCGAAACCTCAGCCAAGGAGGCGAGGGTCTCAAGGGGGCCACTTCCAGCTGTCGGTGACGATTGTGGCCCCTTTATCCGGGCCACGGGGTGTGGAAAAGGCAGGCTCACCCTTCCTTGACGGAGTGCCAGGAGGGCCAGAGAAAGGCCGGGCGGTAGCCTGTGGCTCGTGGCCAACGGAAGCAGAGGCTGCAACCTCAGCCAGAGGCGAGGGCTTGACCCCAGGGGTCTCCGAAGAGCCGGTGGCTTTGGAGGCAGGGGTGCCCTGTTCAGGGAGGCCTGGGAGTGGAGCCTTTGCTAGGGCCGAGGAGGCGGGACCCACGTCCGGCTGCCGAAGGGGGGCCGGGGAGGGGGCAGCGACCTCAGCCGAAGGCGAGGAAAGGCTCTTAGGACCTGCTTGAGGATTGGCCTCAGCGGGCGGAGCGGGCCGAGAGCCGGCCGGGGCTGAGGAAGCAACTCCTGCAGTGGCTGGGGGCTCCACCGGTGCGGGAGGCCCACGGTTACGGGGGTGAAAGCTCATCGGAGGACCGGTTGGTTCAGGGAGCGGGGAAGACCCACGTGTGGCCAGGGAAGCAGCACAGGGGAGGGAAACCTTAGCAGGAGGCGAGGAGGTTGCTGGGGGGAGCTCGGGTGCCACCACTCGTTGGGGAACCTCAGCCGCCAGGGGCGAGGGCGGCACCGCGAGATGCGGGCTGTCGTGAGCCGCGATCTCATGCTCGTCCACGAGCAACCATCGAACTCCTGGCTGGAGTTGCGATCCTACGGCCCGGTGGGTTCCGAGGAACCCACCGTCCGGCCATATTCTCGCGCTGCGGCAGGTAAAACCTGCCAGTCGCGACGTTTCTCCGAGGAGAAACTGCAACGAAGAGAGCGGGTTGAGCGTAAGGCGATGCCAAGCGCCCTGCCCCCCCCGCCTTGTTTCGATCTCGAGATAAGGCACATCCGGATCTTTGCGCTTTGGCGGGGGGGGGCGGGGGGGGTTGGGCCTGGCGACGGGGGGTGGGAGGGGGGGGTTGTCGGCCGGCCTGGTCGCCGCTGCCGCTGGGGCAGGCTGTGAGGAGGAGGACGAAGAGGAGTCGGCAGACTCCACCTCCATTGCAACCTCAGCCACAGGGGGCGAGGGGCCGGCAGAGCCCGACGACTTGCTGGCCGTCGTTCGGTTCGTCACGCGGCGTGACCAGGGAAGAGGCTGGTCGTCGTCGTCGTCTGCCTCAGCCCTTCGGCGAGAAGCAGGTGGAGGGGCGGGAGGCGGGTTCGCCTGGACCCTCTCGCGGTCCTGCTCCTGGCGCGCTTTGGCCTTAGCGCGTGCTGCCTTGTCCCGACGCAACTTGCGTCTGGACAGGGAGCTTGTGCTGTGCCAGATCCCTGTCTGGTCCCATCGCTCCTGCTGCTCGCGAGCGTGGCGGCCCTTGCCCTTGGGCGCCATGGTGCCCTCCTTGAGCCGAAGCTAGCGGAAGAACTTGGTGACGGAAGGACAGGGAGGGGGAGGCTTGGGCTTGGGCTTGGGCCGGGGCTTTGGTTTAGGCTTGGAGGCAGGGGTGCTTTTGGGAGCAGGACCTGGGGCCTTTAAAGCCGGGGCCTCAAGTGACGAACCAAGGCTTGAAGAAGCCTGGGCCTGAGAAACCTCCGAAGGGGGCCCAGAGCCTTCGAGGGGAGAGGAAGCCTTGGGTGCTAGGACCTCAACCGAAGTGAGGGCAGCAGCAGGCGCAGAACCCTGAGGGGAACCCCAAGAGCAAGGCACAGGGGGAACCACCGGGGCAGCAGCAGAGGCAGGAGGGGAAACCTGGGGCCCAGAAGGGGAGGAACCTTTAGAAAAGAACCCCCGCACCGAAGGAAGCGCACAGGGCGCTACGAGCTTTTTTGGCGCGGCGCCCATTCGCAGGGTCACGTGACCGTGGCATTGGCTGCACTTCCAGGACGGCCCCTGGCGCACGAGGGAGTGCGAGGGGTGAGCAGCAAAAGGGCACGAAACCGCAGCCGTTCGGCACGGGAAGGAAATGAGGCGCTCAAAGGTTTCCGGTGTGTCAACCTGGTAGATGCACAAAGAGCACTCAGAACACTTAACACACATGTTAAAGCTCTTTTCTTTTGAGGTTTGGGTCCAGACGTGCCCGCCTGGAAGAAGGGGCTCGTCGAGAAGAGCTTGCAACCCCTGCCTCTTGTTGGGCGAGGGGGAAGCGGAGGACTCTGACGTTCCCTTCGGCCCCCCTCTTAAGGGTAGGGTAGGGGCGAAGGTTCCCGATTCCTGGAACCCCCTCCCCGTACTAAGGTACTGGAAAGGAGGATTTGAAAGAAGAAAGAAAGAAGTAGGGGGAAAGGAGAAAAAAAGGCGGACGGGGCCGCCGGCTCCTTTTTTGAAGTTAGTAGGGGAATAGTAACAGTAAGTCCTGGCCCCGGTCCTCGGAGGGGACCTGGGGTCAGGCGACCGTTCGAGCTAGGAGAAGCAGCTCGCACCAGCCGCTTGGAAGAAAAGTGCTTCTGCGTGCCAGGGCGGATGGGCACGCAAACGCGACCGGTTGTTGTGTCTTGCACGCAGTGCAAATAATAACAACCGAGTGTTTGCGGAGGCAGGGTTCTTATGATTGGTCGTACCGAGCTGTGGCTCGAGAGGTCTTGGGACCAGGTAGGGGTCTTCCCCCCTGGGCCCAGGACCTCAGGTACAGACCTGTTTCTCCCACCCACCCACCCGGCAATTTTGCTTGGGAAATCCACTTGTGTGCCCCGTTGAGGTCGTACCAAGTTGGGATAGACCCACTGATGTCAGCATGCAGTTTCCTCCGTGTGCCAGTTCCCGCGAGCGGGTTACGCTACGGAGGTTGCCATGGGAAATCCCCGCACGGCTCTACTTGATAGCTTGTGTTCGGTGGATACAGCCTCATGCTTGCCAGGGTTCTAGTGCGCGGATTTCCCCGTGCGGGTATCGCCATATATTCCCGGCAGGGGCGAGAAATTCTGGCAAGCTAGGATACATTCACAAAGGTGAGAAATCCTGGTGAGGTCAGGATACACTCACGCCCAAGACGGCGAGGTATTCCAATGGCAGGCCCTCGGGCAGAGGCCGCCGTGGGCGCCTGCCCGAGAAAGGAATCCCAGTTCGTCTGCGGGTACGTGATAGGGTTTCAGGGTCGGCCCCCTTGTTGGTGAGGTTCCCTTCGGGGCGAAGGTTCCCGATTCCTGGAAGCTCGGCTGGGGTCGCCGGCTCATGTTCTGAAGTTGAAGTCTAGGGGAGTAGTAACAGTAAGTCCTGGCCCCAGTCCTCGGAGGGGACCTGGGGTCAGGCGACCGTTCGAGCTAGGAGAAGCAGCTCGCACCAGCCGCTTCGAAGAAAGGCGCTTCTGCGTGCCAGGGCGGATGGGTGGGGGCACGCAAACGCGACCGGTTGTTAAAGAAGCTTCCTGTAAACGTTTTGCATGTACACGCGTGTGTGTGTGTGTGTGTGTGTGTGTGTGTGTGTGTGTGTGTGTGTGTGTGTGTGTGTGTGTGTGTGTGTGTGTGTGTGTGTGTGTGTGTGTGTGTGTGTGTGTGTGTGTGCGTGTGTGTGTGTGTGTGTGCGTGTGTGTGTGTGTGTGGGTGATAGCTTTATGTTATCGTTCTTCACATTATCAGAGTTTGATAAGGACGCGCTCGTTTCTGCCGGTCGACATGTCGAAACGAGTGTCGAAGCATGTGGATGTTGCTCCCGATAAACGCCTATGGCAGATAGCCTTGTATGCCCTCTGCTGGTGGCGAACAAGCGAGAGGTTGGCCGCCAGCTTCCGAGGAAAGGAGTGCGAGTTTTCGCTTGAGAGCCATGTGTGATGGGCTGTTTGTTTTTGACACGCCAAGGGGCCCTTCGGGGCAAGACGGTCCATGTTCTTCCGATTTGCCGATCCTGGCTTGGTGGATGTGAACCATGTCCTGGGCTGACGAAACCGCACAACGGCGTGATGCCTGCGACTTGCGAGGTCGTGGGTGCTCGAGGACTCTCCGAGTTAGGGTCCCAGATCACGAGCCACTGGTGATCCCACGGTAGCCAGGAAAAGATTCCCGAGGCCAGCTGTCCTCCACCATTTCGCCGGCCGATCCAAAGATTGGGCAGCGATCCGAGCTTGGCAACGGCTTGTGCTGTGGAGTTCCTAGTGGAGCACGGGAGTTTGCTCCAGGATTTCATGCTTGATACTTTCGGCATGGCGCGACGCAACACGGGAAATTGCCGGTCGCCGAGAGTTCTGGATGTGAGCGCATCTGCTGACGCGGTTAGTTATTGCATGTTAGGGCTCATTTCAGGCTTCTAAAATCTGCAGAGAAGGAAGGTAAAGTCAGGTCGAGGTTGGCCCACCCTGAGGCAGACGAGTGTTCGATCATGTGGACGGACAAGCAGCCATCAAACGGCCGGGTCATGACATGCAAAGGTCAGTCCGTGGTGTTATGCAAGTTGACAGGTGCGTGGCCGGGGGCCCGCCGGTGAAAGAGCGCGGCTCCCACACTCAGAAGCTCAAGCCCAAGCTGTTTGTTTTATGTTTGCCAAGGTGCGAGCCGCCGATGCTTGTGTGTTGATTCTCAATGTTCAAAACAAAGTAGATGAGCATGGCCTTGTGCCAATCGCGCCGGCGAGATTGCTACAGTGCAAGTCATGCATTTGCCCACATTTACATGCGAGAACGAGACTAAGCCGATGAAGCGGCCGTTCTCAAATGGGGAGCGAGCCTATTGCTGACGGCGGTGTTGAAGGATGATTGCTTTATCGGCTTACAGCCCAGGATAGCAGGGAGCAGCATGTGCAAGCAGTTCAAGCCAACAAGAATTGCCTTTGCTTTCATAGTGGTGATTGCTTCTTGTCTCAGTTGCAGATGGTCGAGTTGTCCCCACCTTACTTTGCAGCCAACTCCTCGAAGGTCTTGCGAGTACAACTTCGTGTGGAGCCACCAGTACGCTCGCAGTCAAAGCGGAAGCTGGCCCCCACCATACCCACCATATCTCGACCATCTCGTCCCCGACAGGGCAGGACCGGCAAGATCTCGAAAACATATTTCGTGGGCATCTTTGCACCGCCTCGTTCTAAGAGCAAGATCTCGTCGAAAGAAGCTGCACGGGAGCTGCAATCAGTATCCGTGCATGAGCAGACGAAAGCAGAGCAACGGATTTGTTTCCGGGAGGGTCGTGCGAATCGCTTCCTCTTCGACCGGGCCTTCCCTGCCTTGACCAACGAGGCCATCCTGCCCGGCTGGCAAAGGGAGAAAGAGGAGGGCCCAACTTTGGTGAAACCCACGCTCTCCTCGCTCCGACGAAAGCGCACCATGGACCTCGACCGTCTCGACCGTGACAGTGAGAGCAGCCCCAAAAGCCTTGCGCCCTGGAAGCCGGCAGACAACTCCCGCAAGATTGACCATCCCGGGAATGTGGCCTTGTCTAGAGTCAGGGCACGAAGTGCAGGAGAGACAAAGCCGCACATAAATCGCCGAAAGACACTGACGGCACAGCAATTGGAAACATTCGAGACGCGCGCTGCGGGTCGAGAACGTGCTGAGAGGCTGCTGGAACGCATTCGCAATCGGAACGCTGCGGCGCAGCTCTCGCGTAGCTTCCAGGAAAGGATCCGAGCTGAAGCTCGGAGAGCCAGTCGAGCCGGCCGAGGGCAGGAAAGCGAAGCGACGAGCAGCCCTGGGAGTCCTGCGAGCCCAGCGAGTCCACGGAGCCTCGACATGACGCCAGCCTCGGCCGCCTAGGCTCCCGGTTTGGGTCGTTTCACCGCTGTAGGCTGTGGGGTGCAGGCCTAGGCCCCAGAAGCATGTCAGAGTGGCAAAGCCAAAGCCATGCGAACAGTATTTTAAGGCGGAGTCGAAGAATGCATGTGGGCTGCCTGCATTTCCGATTGATTCTGAATCATTAGTAGATGCGTGCACGGCTCGATGCTGGCCGCGGCCGCTCCCTGGTGCCAGCTTGGCTCAAGCCAACCGTTTGCGAGTTTCTGCCAACTATTGCAGTGAGTGGGAGGGGTTCATCGCCGTACATCACGTATCGGAGATGCCCAGTGCATGCCAAGGACATTCTGCAGCATAATGTCGGTGAAGGCACCTGTTCACACTTAGTGCTTGCTATGACCAGCAGCTTGCTGTGATTTGAGGCCAAGAGCTTGTGTGCTGCGCAACGTGTCTTTGCCCATGGCGGAAAATCGCTCCTCTGTCGACGAAAGCATCTGCAGTGATAAACAGACTCTGCAGACTCAGGCTCTAGATCTCCGCATCAGGTCAATAGGGCTATGCGCTCGCAATCGGCACAGTGTAGCGGATCATATGAAACAGTAGTCCATCGTCATCATCGAATGCTGCTAGAATCGCGGAGCAATGATTGGCCTGAGCCACCGAAGCCACACAGATTGGTCACACTCCTCCCTTTTTCTGGCCCATGAAAGGTAGAGGAATCGTTTCGTGAAGCGTTGGGCACGCGACGCCATGTCGGCATTACGCTAGCCGGATCGGGCTACTGTGCTGGAAAGACTTGATTTTGACTTTGCTTCGTACAGAACGAAGCCCAACGGTGTGAGAGGCTGTGGCAAAGTGTGCATCTTGCATGTCAACCAAGTCGCTTTGGTAAAGTCTCGCCATCAGTGCGTCTGAAGGTAGGATCGGGTCTTTGCTGTAACGTTGCTCGCAATGTGCTGTTTTGCTGATGGCGATGCATGAGCAGAGCATATCCAGGCTGCGATGGGCGCGGGCTTTGTGCAAGCCTCGAAATTGTGGGGAGTTCTTCAACAGTTCTTCCGTCCATGCGTGACCAACATTTGTGGCATAGGCTACTGGTTGCTGTGCCACGAGGTTAGAGCCTTGCAGTCTGTCGTGCCTGGTATTGCGCCAGGTTCGACGGTCAAACAGTTGAGGTCTGGGTGCTACCGTTTACTGCCTGCTACTGCTACTCGTTGACAGGCAGTGCCTGGGCTCAACGTGATATTGGTCCTACTCTGCGGCGTTTCTTTGGAGCCTACTACAATGGTCACATGGATGCATGGTGGCGCAGCTCGTGCAGACAAATCACTGCTGCCAGCAGCTGCGTAAGCTGAGGTGATGTCTGGGCAGTGTACAGGCCGCTGGATGCGAAAACTCTGTAAGACAGTGTCGGAGCTTCACAACTCCAGTGTTTTCTCTTTTCTTGGAAGGCGATACAAAAATATTGATGTGGAAAATTCCGGATGGATCAGCTATGACGAGCTCGGTGAGAAACGAGCTTGAGAAGGGTGCTGTTTGTGTTTTTGTTGTCGTGCGCGCGCAGAGTAAACCTAACAGCTAAAGCAGTGCCCTGAAGCTACACGCTTGTGCTGACTTCGTCGAGAAGGCTGTGCAAAACCTGCCGCAGCCGCACCGGTTTTGGGCATGCCTGTGCGTGGTCAATCTTCACATGAGAATCTCAGGATCCTGTTCTTGCCAGAGTTCAACTTACTTTTTATCTTTGATGCATTCAGCCAGCAGAATGCGACCAGAATGCATTACTTGCTGTCAGCTCAACTAGGACTAGGAGTGTACCGCCTTACCGAAGCTGGCGACCCAAGGCCCTCATCGACAGCCGCGAGCTGCTGGTAATGGTTTGTGCCTGGTCTTTTGAATTGGGCGGCATGGTTACAGTCACAGCCCAGGCTGATCTCGGACAAGTGCAACGGTGTTGGTTTCTAGGGCCTAGGGAGAAGGCAGCAAGCTAGAGGCGGTCAAGAACGGAAGATGATGTTGACATATGTCGACAGCATTTCCTGAAATTGTAATTGTCAGGCCTGTTCAGCTCCTCCAAACTGTCCGAGAAATGTGGCGAGCCTTTCCTGCATGTCTGAGGTAGTGGAGTTTCTTTGGGTTCACATTTGACTGATTCGGACCAAGGTGTTCATGACTCTGTTCGATAGCTCGCACAGCGGAACATGCACTGCTGCAGAGGTAGCGAGCTTCGCGCCTGGGCGTGTAAGACGGAAGAGTTTCCTTGTGTTTTGCATTCTTGTCAATGGCTCTCTAATGCTGGCTGCCGCCTGTGGTTGTGTGAACATAGCCGGACCCCAGTCGAAACGAGAGAGTCGGATTCGCATATCAGACGTGCCAGACTCAGGCAACCTTGGCACTGCAAGTTCTGGGTCGCTGCACAGGTGCATGTGTGCGAGGAAAGGACATTGCAGCTGATACTTGGTGTAAACAAATTACAGCAATGCGCGGTGCTGATGCATTGCAGTCGCTGTTGCTGGGAGTTGCGCAGTATGGGCAGTTCGGCCAGATACAAGTGAGAGATAGAGCTTCAGGTTGAGACATGCAAGGGAAGGTGGCAGCATTTTGAATGAGGTGATGCAAGAGGAATTGTCTGATGTTCTACCACAGTACCGCGAAGCTGAAAATCGTCTCGGCATGGAGGCCTGACTAGCCCTAATCGTTTGTCTCGGATAGGTCTATAAGCTATATAAGCTTGTCGCAGGCAACCTTCAAAGAAGAACGCATCTTCGGCCAAGACGAAATCGATGAGATTTGTTCGACATTCAGGCCCAGGATCAACCCGGGATATTGTTGCTTTGGTGATGATAGTAATGATGTGATACATGCAGCAGCAACAACAACCAGACCGGCAGCGACTACAACGACAGCAGCAGCATCAGCAGCAGCAGCAACAACAGCAGCAGCAACAACAACAACAACAGCAATGACGACAACTAGAACAATAACACGAATAAGGGCAAGAGCAAGAGCAAGAACAGGATCAAAGCTAAGACAGCTAAGAGCAGCTAAGATGCGCGGTCCAAGCCTCCAAGGAGGTGCATACTCACTTGAAAACAGAATTGGCGACTGGGCAGATTGCCCCCCTGCGGAACTCGGCTTGCACGATGATTTCTGAAGAAATCCTTGAGCGATGAAAAGAATGCCCATCTCGACATGGGCAGCGGCGTTACGGAAATGTGAAATGCGCAGGGTGTTTTTGAATGCTGCAAGCAAAAACTGATTCTGGCCGTGCCTTTGAGAAACCGCACCATCGCATCCAACCGCCCATGAGCAACTGCTGCAAGGTTGTATATAAGCTGTATGTTGTTTTTGATGAAGATGTTACTCGCACAGCTGAATCCACTTCCAGGCTGTGCCCATTGATCCCACCAGTGCAGTGCAGCCTCGCGCTGTTTTTTTTCCGGCCTTGGAGATTCCACCCTCGCGCAACAACAACACCTACTGCTGCTGCGGCTGCTGCTGCTACCCCTACCACTACCACTACCACTACCACTACCACTACCATTCCACTACCACTACCAGTCCACTTCCACTACCACTACCACTACCACTACCACTACCACTACACTACTACTACGACGACGACGACTACTACGACTACGACTACGACTACGACTACGACTACGACTACGACTACGACTACGACGACTACTACAACTACTACTACTTCTTCTTCTACTACTACTACTACTACTGCGACAAAAACTACCACTACTCGTACCAATCAACATACTAAACATCTTTGTAATTGTAGTGTCTGTCGGTGCCGTCGCAGTTGCAGGTGCAGTTGCAGTGGAACCTGCTGTTGCTGCTGTTGCCCTTGTTGTTTTTGCTGCTTCTTGCATGTGAATCATCGTTTTAAAGGGTGCTCCAAACCGTGGGAGTGCAGTCACGGTGCACTGCTACCACAGACGATGCTGTGCAAGCTCCAGATTTAGTAGGATGGGTGGTGGATGTTCAGGGTGAAGGGATTCGGTGCGCGATTTTTGCTCGAAGTGTTGACACCCATCGTGCCCTCAACATGAAGTCGCGATGCATAAGAAGGTTGTTTGTCCCGAAGTGCAGACCAGTCAATGCCCCAGGTGCTTGACTGTTTTCTCCAATATCTCATCTGCCAAGCATCATTTTCGAGCATCCCGCGACCGCCCGTGTGCAGTGGATCGAAGCACAGGTAACTTAGGCACTGCCCCGCTCCAGCCAGCTCGACATGTGGATCGGCAGCGGTTCCGCGGACGCGCCCATGCAGCAGACCCAGCAGAGCAAGAGAGCCCGAACGGAGGATCCCGCAAGAACCTCGTCCGCATGATGGAGAACTTGGACTACCGTCTGCGCCAGCTCGAGGGTGCCACGGCGTGCATGCTGTGCTTTTTCCTGCCTCTGGAGGGATGCGGGTTGGCCCAAGCCATGCAAGCGGCAGCGGCTTACTACGATGGGCGCAGCCCTCGCAAGGGCAAACCGCATCCGGACAAGCATCGCAAGACCACTCTAGCCGGAGCCCTCGTGAAGTTTGCAGCGGAGCACGAGTTGCAGAGATTTTCTTCGGAAGAGCAAGCAGCCCTGGCCCGGACAAGCAAGCTTCTTGCAGCAGCACACCGGCCTTCCCTTGTGGAACGGCACGGGATGATCAAGCTGATGTTTCCCCCTCATGGCGACGCCGACAGCTATGGAGCTCGATGTCATCGCTCGCAACTTGTGGACAGCCAGAAAGGACACCAAGTACGTGCTGACTGTCCAGTTCCAGCCGCACGGGGTCTTGGCTCAGGTGACGCCGTTCACCGAGTTCGTGATTCTTGCGACGGGAAGGATGCCTTCGTCGGGCGCGCTGCCGAAGTGAGCCCAAGTGAGGTGCTTGTGAACGCAGTTGTCCAATTGGTTGCTCTGTGTGTCTAGTGGGGCCACTTGGGTCTTGTGTCTTTGTGCTTCGACTAGATCTTGAGGCCGGGCCACAAGGCCCGCAGATCGCCTCTGCATGAGGCGCCCGCTGTAGCGGAGGTATGAGTGTAGCAAGGTCTGTACAGTGTCACTGCAAGACATAACAGTTTGGACACCTCAGAGCCTGTGAGTGAGGTGTTGTTGTTGTTGTGGTTGTTGTTGGTTGTGGTTTAGATTGTTGTTGCTGTTGTTGGTGGTGACGGTGGGGTTGTTGGTTGTCGGTTGATGGCTGTTGGCTGTTGGTTGTTGGTTGTCGGTTGTTGGCTGTTGGTCGTGGTTGTTGATTGTGGTTGTTGCTTGTTGGTTGTTGGTTGTTGGTTGCTAGTTGTCTGTTAGTTGTCGTTTTGGTTTGTGGTTGTGGTTGTTGTTGTCGTTGTCGTTGTCGTGAAAACCCATTGACCTGCTCCAATCCCGTCGAATCAGACTTCGCCGGCTCCACCACCTCCACTATCTCCTCCTCCACCCAATGCCCAAAGCCGAAACGTGCCGGCTTAGAAGCCTCCCTTTCCTGTAGTTTATCCATTCACGGCTTTCCCTCCAGTCGGGGCAAAACAGGAGCGACAGGTGCAGCAGCACCCGAAGCGTCACCCAAAACACCGTCCCCATGGGCCACCACTACTCTGCCACCACCCACGACTACTACTCTACCACTTGCACTACCACTACCACTATACCACTTTGTGGCATGGACCTTTAGGGTCTATTTGGCAATCCGGCTCTGTTTAGGGGCTTAGAAGGAGTCAACTAAAGCGACGACGACGATGACGAAGAGCATGCACAAGGAACTTCTTCCCAGCGACCGCCCTATGCCTGGTGTGGTGTGAGAACCCAAATCTACGTGTGCTGTTGCTGGCAGGTGCTGGTGCTGTTGCTTCTCTCGTCGCTGCCCGCTCTGATTCCTTTGATTGATCTTTCTTCTCGTTTATGTTCTTTTCGCCTTCTTCTTTCAATGAAAAGGGTAACATGAGGGAAGGGCAAAGGAGCGACGTCAGTTCTTCTCGACGTGTTTCCCTTTTTTCCTTTCCTCTGAGGTGGTCTCTTTTTTGCTTCTGTCTCTCTCTCTCGCTCTCTCGCCTTCTCGCTCGCGCTCTCTTCCCCTCTGCCGTGTCTTTCTTTCTCATCTCTCCCATCTCCTTGTTCCTTATTCCTTTCTGCGAAGCTGAAGGAAGGAATAGCAAACAGCAACGAAGAGATAAGATGACGGAAGATGGTTGGGAGAAGGAAAGTGGATTCCTCCCTCGCTCGGCTCTCTCTTCTTTTCTTTTCCCTTGCTTTCTTCCTCTTCTCTTCCTATTCTTCATAAGGAAGGAGAAATGGAAGGGACGAAGGTTTCAGGACAAGCAAGAGGCACTCATTCTCATCATCACCTTCTCCCTCGTTTTCATTGTTCTGTCCATCTCCCTCTTTCTCTCTCTGCTTCCCTCCCTTCCTCCCTGCCTCCCTCTCTCCCTTCCTCCTTCTCTACTTCTGCACGTTCCCTTTTCCGCCTCTTTTTCCGCCTATCATGTTTGATTTGACATGATTTGACTATTATCTTCATTTTCTCCCACCCTCTATGTCCCTTCGCTTCCTCTATTCATTCTCCTTCTCCCTTTCCTGCCTCCGGTCCTTGTCCTTCTATCACTCAGAAGGAAAAAGGACGATTCGCAAGGAAGAAGACAAGAGAGTAAGAGAAAAGACGCAAGAAGCGGCGAGCGAATCCGAGAATGACAGAAGGAGGACGGGAGCCATGAGGAAGGAAGGACAGAAACACAGAGAGAAAGTAAGAGAGAAAGATAATCAAAGAGAGAGAGAGAGAGAGAGAGAGAGAGAGAGAGCGTGTTTTTTCTACTTCGCGTTGCGTTACTGGTGCACTCAACAAACCTCACTGCCCAGATACTCCGTCTCACACCCAACGTGTCCGGCCCTCTAAAGTGTTCTACTTGTGCCTGTTGCAACTAGAGGGAGGGGCACCCGCTCGCCTGAGGCTACAGGGTTGAGTGGCAGGTCGAAGGCAGTGCTGCGCAGGGATAAGGCTTCTGTTCGGGATAAGGCAGGGGACAGGTGGGGGTACAGGTCAAAGGCAGGGCACACGCAAAGCAGGGGCACCCGCGGCACGAACTCAGCCTTAATCATGTTGCTAACACGCTTTTGTGTTTCTATCGTTGCACCAGCCGGGGGCCCCAACCAAACCAGCACGAAGTGGGAGCCGAAGTTGTGTTCACCTTACTTACCCTTTTGTTTGACAAGCGGCACAACCCACTCGTGGCCCTGAACAACAGGGCACACGTTCTGTACAGCCGAGCCCTTCCATTCCGAATGATGGAGGGGGTAGCGCGCTCGCGCGGGGCGGGAGGACTGCTCCTGCCCTAGACCCCGAGCAAAGCAAAGCAAAGCAAAGAGAGAGAGCGTCGGGGAATGAGAGGAGGCCATTCTCACCGTTTCATTTCATTGGTGATAAGCCAGGAAGAACTTTTGGAGGAAGACAACAGACAAGTGTTCTCCTCTTCGCTCACCTTGTGCCCTTCCTCTCCCACTGCTCGTCCGCTCTCCTATCTGTCCTACCATTGATTCTCTCGTCTGGCGGAAAGGTAGGAACCTGGAAGAAGAGGAGAAGGGAAAGAGACAGCAATGAGAAATGACTTTCTGCGAGCCTGAATCTTCGATGCTGCATCCCAACGCTTGCGAAGATCGAGCAGACTGATCTCAGGCCTAAATCAGACAGACGAAGAGAGAGAAAGAGAGAGAGAGCTACTCAACACAAGAAGCCTCTGCAACCGTGACGTAGTTCAGCCTGGGGGCCCATTTTTACTTGCAGCTAGTCGTGTGGCATGACATGCTGTTCCGAATGAGGCCTCCGTGTGGACCCAACTAGTGCGGTAAGTCTCACAGCCTTCTCAGAGCCCGAGGGAGAGAACACAGACAGGGGGGCGCAGCAAACGTGGTACCTGCGAATAGGTCGTACTTTTGACTGTTGCGTGTTACTCACGTCGCCCTGTACACTCGCAACTTTTTCAGAGCCCGAGGGGGAGCACAAGGACAGGGGGACGCAAAAACTGTGATACTTGCATTAGGTCGTTCGCTAGACTGTTGTTTGTCACTGGCGTCGCCCTGCACACTCGTGTTGCCAACCGGGGAGACAGTTAACAGCGAGCCCTGCGGGGGAACAATAGCCACAGGGGCGCGGGGATGAGGCCGGGACGCGGGTGGTTTAGCGTACGGGGGCGGGGCTCGCTGCAGGAAAACCCGGGGCACACTTTGTAGTTCCTTGCCGAGCTCAGGAAAACCCCAAAGCCGACCGCTCACTAACACAGTGGGTGGGTTGGGCGGGCCAATGGCCTGAGGGTCTTGACGACCCCTACGCCCAGCAGAAAGAAAGAAAGAGAGAGTAGCTATTTTGGCTCAAGCCATTTTGCCTCAAGCCGTGAGCGGTTCAAGGTCCGGGCCACTGAGAGAAGACAGAAGACAGGACCTCGATTGAAAGGGGCGCTTGCAAAGGGGAGAGCCAGTGTGCCCCCTGCGTCCATACGTTGCTTGATCAGCTACCAGTTTGCTGCTCTTTGCGTGTACCTCGCGAACGCTCGGGACGAGGACATCTGAAAGTTCGGTTCTGTACGGTGCCCGCACGCTGTCCCTTGGGAACTTTGACAGCCCTTGCCGTTGACGCGATTGGCAAACCTACACAGGGTCCGCCCGCATTACACGATCCACCGGGAGGCGACGGTGGGAGGGGGAGTTTGTCACCTACCCGTTCGTGAAACTACACCGACCCAAACGAGAAGTATATCTCTGTCTTTGTGGTTATTTTCGGTAAACGTCCGGGGGCTTGTCTCAAGCGGCATCACCCATGGAAACCATTCGAGGCGAACTTCACAAACAACGTGAGGAGGATACGGTGAGCAGCAGCCGGGGAGTGAGTTGAGCCGCCAGTTTCCACACTTTCCAAGGGAAGACCCCTAAAGTTACTCGGGAAGAGAAGTGCCTAGGAGCTTCAGTTGCCCTACCTGTACTGGTAATTCCGCTTGGCTGCTTTTCAGCCTATTTAGTTGTGCCTCGCCGGGCTAGGGGATGCCATTGAGCGACCCTTTACTCCGCCGTACAGATCTTTCAACAGGGTTCGTAGAGAGACGACCCTTTCATTCCGTCCATTCAGATCTTTTCAACAGGGTTCGTAGAAGGACGACCCTATCCTTTCTTTTCACTCCTTTCAATTCGGGGATTGTAGTGAAACGACCTCGTGCAACTTTCGAGCAGGACTCTCTCTCCGTAAACTTTTTTAGACGTGGCCTGTAAGTCCCTGCCGACCCGTAGGGAGGTGGACCCCCGTCCCGAAGCACGGAGAAGATGCTCCGACCCGAGCACCTGTGCTTCACTCCTTCGGGGGATTTGAAAGCAAACAGAGCTGGCCAGTTTTCTGAGGGTTTATACGCTGTTGCTAGGCCGGCTTGTAGTGTGGTTATGTTCTGTGATTTGCGACCAGCTCTCCGCATGAGTTTCCAATCCGGGTGACGCGGATGACTTGAGTGGGGCCTACCTGGTATCGCACTGGTCATGGTGTTAGCAGGTTTGGTCTTGGGGGACGGGGAACAAGGCCCATTCAAGGGAACGCGCACCCTCCCCGGAAGGGGCCGAGCGACAAGGATTGCGCGCGAGCCTTGAGGGGGTAGGCCCTCGGGCCAGGGTGCCGTGGCACCCAAACCCCAAGCACGCAAGCAAGCAAGCAAGAGAGAGAGAGAGAGAGAGCTTCAAGCCCAGCAGAGGAAAAAGAGAAAGACATGAAGATAAGAGACGGGGGAAGGGGCGGTCAGAAGAAATACAAGCCAAAGCTACGTAATGAAAGGGAGGAAACCCCTTTCTCCTCTGCTCTTGCTCTCTTATTCAATCATTCTTCTTTGAGCACAAGCGGATGAGCGAAAGTAAAAGACGAAATCTTCCGTTCCCTACCTTCTTCGTCCGTCCCACCTCTTCCGCTCATTCTT